CTCGGATTTGTTTCTTAGTGGCTAGAAATATCTGTGATATTTGTGTGTGTTTACCTGAGTTCTGTTCTCTTTGTGACTTGTTTAGTTCATCACTGAGATTGAGGAAATGGGAGGTATGGCTCGCGCTGTGGCCGAGGGGATTCCCAAACTGCGCATCGAGGAATGTGCCGCTCGCAGACAAGCGCGCATTGATTCAGGTACCATAGCAAAACTCTCATATACACATGCCTGAATACATGATTACAGGCCAGGACATGTGACTAATGTCCCATTTAACTAAAGTGCTACTTCAGAAACCTCCATGACTAATGGAAGTGGTCTCGACTAGTCACATGCATTAAAAACGTCTCCAGTTACTGTCGTAACCTCGGTTCCCTGAGAGACGGGAACGAGACATGGCGTAGGCCGCCGTGTTCACTGCCCCTATTCGCCGTCTTGGCTGGTTGCAACTTCACTGGCGTTGTGTAATAAGATTCCAGGTAGGTTAGGAAGGAAGGGAGTCCCCAAGGCGTTAACGCCATGTCGAGAGACCGTCTCTCAGGGAACCGAGGTTACGACAGTAACCGGAGACGTTTTGTGCTCCAGGGTCACATATTGCACAAAGCTGTTTTTTTTGTGTGGAAACACTACCATTCAAAAGTTTGGGGCCAGTAAGATTTTTCTTAAAGAAATTAATTCATCAAGGCTGCATTAAAATGATCAAAAGTGCCAGTAAAGACATTCATAATGTTAGAAAAGATTTCTATTTCAAATAAATGCTGTTCTCATTACAGTTTAACAGATATTCAAATAGATATAATATAATATATATAAGATAACTTATAATAATATTTCACTATTTTTACAGTATTTTTGATCAAATAAAAGCAGCCTTGCTGAGCAGAAAATATATTTATTTTTAAAAATCATTAAATCTTCCAGTAGTTTACACAGAATATTTACTCTTTTAAAAACTCGCACTGCAGGACTAATGATCGTATCTGCACTGATCGAACGTGAATGTGTCCTCTACGCACCTGCAGCATCTGAGCACCGTCTTCTGGTTCAGTCTGCATGCGCGCAGACGCAGCCAGCGCAAGTCCTGCAGGCGGCTGACAGACAGCAGACCCGGACTGACCTCGTTCCCGCCCAAACTGAGTCTCTCCAGCCCCGGCCAGCCCTTGCCCAGCCCCAGCGCCACCATCTGCGCCAGCCTCCAGGTCTCCAGCTCCAGGTGTGTGAGGCGGCCGAGCGTCTGCGCAGCGGGGGGAACGCACCTCCTCAGCCCGCCTGCGCTCACACGGCTCAGATCCCGCAGCTCCAGGCGGCTCAGCTGCTGCCACGTGCACAGACTGCGCAGGTGCTGGTCGCAGAACGACGGCACACTGTCGAGGACGAGCGTCTCTACTGCAGCCTCGGGGTCCTGCGAGAAGAATCCGGGCGAGACTTCACAAGAGCGCAGCTCCAGCACCTGCAGTGAAGGCGGCAGCAGGCGGCAGCTGCGTAAACGGCGCAGGTCTGTGTACTGCAGGCAGAGTCTGCGCAGACGAGGGCACTTAGAGCGCAGCGCCTGCAGCCAGGACTCTGTGAGGAAGGCTCCGCGGCGCGCAGACAGCAGCAGCCCACGCAGACGCAGACATCGCAGCCCGTGACCCAGATACTGACGCAGTAGAACCCACAGCACTCGAGAAGTCAGCTGAAACAACACCAGAACCATTAAAGATTCACGGTTTTCATTAATGCAATTTATCAGTGCTCAAGAACATATCAAAAACAATGCAAATCACCTGCCAACAAACAATAAAAGCGTGTTATAATGCTATTTTTAAGCTAAATAAATAGACTTAAACTTATTAAATAAATAAATAAGACTTATTATCTTTTAAAAGTCAGTAGAAAATAGACTTAAACGTATTAAATAAATAAATAAATAGAGTTATTAACTTTTAAAAGTCAGTAGAAAATAGACTTAAACTTATTAAATAAATAAATAAATAGAGTTATTAACTTTTAAAAGTCAGTAGAAAATAGACTTAAACTTATTAAATAAATAAATAAATAGAGTTATTAACTTTTAAAAGTCAGTAGAAAATAGACTTAAACTTATTAAATAAATAAATAAATAGAGTTATTAACTTTTAAAAGTCAGTAGAAAATAGACTTAAACTTATTAAATAAATAAATAAATAGAGTTATTAACTTTTAAAAGTCAGTAGAAAATAGACTTAAACTTATTAAATAAATAAATAAATAGAGTTATTAACTTTTAAAAGTCAGTAGAAAATAGACTTAAACTTATTAAATAAATAAATAAATAGAGTTATTAACTTTTAAAAGTCAGTAGAAAATAGACTTAAACTTATTAAATAAATAAATAAATAGAGTTATTAACTTTTAAAAGTCAGTAGAAAATAGACTTAAACTTATTAAATAAATAAATAAATAGAGTTATTAACTTTTAAAAGTCAGTAGAAAATAGACTTAAACTTATTAAATAAATAAATAAATAGAGTTATTAACTTTTAAAAGTCAGTAGAAAATAGACTTAAACTTATTAAATAAATAAATAAATAGAGTTATTAACTTTTAAAAGTCAGTAGAAAATAGACTTAAACTTATTAAATAAATAAATAAATAGAGTTATTAACTTTTAAAAGTCAGTAGAAAATAGACTTAAACTTATTAAATAAATAAATAAATAGAGTTATTAACTTTTAAAAGTCAGTAGAAAATAGACTTAAACTTATTAAATAAATAAATAAATAGAGTTATTAACTTTTAAAAGTCAGTAGATTCATTCACGGTTTTCATTAATGCAATTTATCAGTGCTCAAGAACATATCAAAAACAATGCAAATCACCTGCCAACAAACAATAAAAGCGTGTTATAATGCTATTTTTAAGCTAAATAAATAGACTTAAACTTATTAAATAAATAAATAAATAAATAGACATATTAACTTTTAAAAGGGAGGAGAAAATTTGTAAAACAGGATATTAAATGTAAAAATCAGCTGAAAATTAAATCGTAAAAAGTAGAGCAAATGATTACATTCTGATAAAAGATTATGAAGACAAACATGTTTTACTTTTGATTAAGATGCACTGATCAACTATTCATAAGATCATAGACACTTAAAAGACAGTTAATATATAATTAAGTGAGTCACTATTGAGCTGATACTGTATTCGTCTCATATCTGATTAATTTTACAACATGAGCGCAGTTATTTTCCTGTTTATTGCTGTGAAGCTGCTTAGAAATGATCTGTAGAAATAAGTGTGACTTGACTTTATTGAAACCAAACTGATTTACAGGACAAAGACACTCTCCGGTGGCCATTTTAGACAAAAAATAAACATACACCGGTAAAATCAGCGTAAAAGTCAGAGTAAAACGCTCACCCCTTTCCATGTGGAGAGATCAACGGCTCTCCAGAGTCTCTGATCCTTCACCAGCTGCTTCCAGCGCCTGCAGACCCTAAAACACACACATTATATTCATAAACATTCATAAACACACAGATCTGAGTTCATAATCCGCGCTTCTGTTTGTTTGTGTTTGATGACTTCCGGTGTACGGATCTCCGTCTTTCCGACTCAACTCTGTACAATCTCTCAAACCTGACAGCGGAACACACGGAACTGATGATCATCGATCACTAAATTCAGTTTATAAAACATTTTAACGTTACTTGACAAAAACACGGTCGCTGGCTGAATTACTATCACGGTTGCTTCATCGTAACGTTACCTGGAGTTCCTCACGAGCTCGCGCACGTTTAAATAAGATAAAATATCGATTAAAACGTTTTCGGGGAAACAGTCCAGAACCATGTCTTGATGATGCTATCGGAAGCTCCGAAGCTTGTATAAAAATAAAAATAAAAAAACAACACGTTTCACATCGGAGCGCTGAATCGGAGCTTGATTCGTTTAGCCAAAAGCACGTGATCTATGACGTTTGACGCTACGTTCGTCTGAAAACCACGTGACTGCGTCAGCGCCGTTTCCTTTATAATGCGTTGGCATTGTTTTTGTGTTTTCAATATCATAATTAAGTGACCTATTTCATCTTCACAGATGTAAATTTTCTGATTGTATGCCCAATTTTTGGATTTTTTGTATTGATTTGAAATTATTTTATGAATCTCTCTGCTCATCACTTAATAAGAAAGATGCTAAAACTACTGTATTGATGGAAAAAATATTGACTTTGATGTTTGTTGTTTGAAGTTGACATTTTATGTGTAATTTTTCATTTAAGTAATTTTTTATTTTAATTTATTTATTTTAAAAAAAAAAGATGTTTAACTTTTTATAGCTTTGCCTATGATTTCAAATTATAAAAAAAAGCACATCGAATATACTAATTTCTATCATACACTCCAGTTTTCTATTAATATAGAATTCTAAATCCTTCCGAAATAATCTTGAGTAAATACAGTGAAAAAAAAGATGCAAAATAGCTTATTTTTCTTGAGCACAAAATTCGCAGGTATATGAAATATTGAGCTTTAATCTTTCCAAAACATGCTTAGCGGGATAAACTCTATGAATTATGAAGACACTGCCTTAATTTTGTTATTGATACAAAACGTATTTGGCAGTTTCCATGCTTTAACCCACCAAGAAACTATTTCCGGTGACACCGAAAACAAAATAAAAGCCCCCATGACGCTGCAGTCGGGGGTTTCCGGTTCGTCCAGCAGAAAACAGACGAAAATTACTTGCTTTTTGAACACGATTCATTATTTATGAATTAAACACGCCATATGTGTATAAAAATGATTAATGCTTTGGCATTGTTGTATTTATGTTTATTATGAGAGACTTCAGACCAATCAGCGACAAGAGATTATTTAAAAAAAGGATTTAGAAAAAGTTCCATCTCGAAAACAAAGAATAATGTAACTTTTATTTTATTTTAAATACTAAAAAAAGTTTTAATAGTGAAATAACTCCTTTAGTAATGTAATTTTCTTTAACACATATTCTCTCGCTCTTGTTCGTCTGTAATATGTTTGCGGTCACCGGAAGTGGCCTCGTCCGGCGCAATGCGCATGCGCAGTGAGGAGGGCAGCGCTAGCGGAGCGGAGGAGCAGAAGCCCGAGGAGTTTCTTCAGCGTTGATTAGTCAGCCTGTTAATTAGTGTGTTTATGAATCTGCACAATGGCGGGAATCAAAGGTGAGCGGCTCTAACTGCGTGTGTTTGCGGTGTTTGTGTGTAAACAACGAAGCGGAAGCGGTTCGGTTTTTATTAGCGGCCGCAGAGCCAAACAAACATTAGCATCTCGGTTTGTGTTTAAAATATACACACATCTTTCAAAGAGACACACAAATATTTATATATATATGAATATCAGGGAATTTTGTACTTTGACATTACATATATTGGACAATGTGCATTTGCTTTTAAATGCTACCACATCTGGATATGAGTTAGCATGAGGATGATGATGGTGGTGCTTAGCTAATGAGTTATTATAGAAAATAAATAGTTGTTAGAGCACAAAATTATTAGTATTACCGCTATTGGGTCCTGCCTTCTCGGCTGAACTTACACAGAACGTGTTTTGTGTTTGTTGTGTATTTTACACAATTGTATTTTGACAGTTTAGTTGAATAATTGAATAACTGATGACAGTAGAATCCTAATAAAAGAGTAAAATAATTCTGTGACTTATATGAATATTTACATATTTGATTGCCCATATTTTAATTGAAGATGTGACTGTAAATTACATTATTTCACTCCGTTAGCCTTTGAAAAGTGAAGATATTTTGAATTTGTTTTTATTTTAATTTTAGTCACAATTTTAGTAATTTTGTTGTGTGTTTTTTTTGCTTTTATATATATTTGTCTGTGTAGATTTTATTAATTGTTTCAGTTTTAGTTATTTGAGTACATCTAATAACTATTTTAAGAAGTTACTACAAATTAAAGAAAAATGTTGCCTTTGCAGCTAGCTTGAAATAAAAAGCTTTTTATAATGTATTTTATTTTAGTTAATGTTTATTTTAAGTAACATATTTTTTAATGGTTTTAATAATAATAATAATATATA